GGGGGCGGGTACAGCTGGCTCTGCTTCTAGATAGGCAGAGCCAGCTGTCACTCACGCAGCTGGGCAGATCCCGTCATCTACGTCGGTATCCGCTTCAGCTGCGGCGTCTCAGTATACCGCGAGCTGTAGCTTGCGGAATACTGAGCTTAGGGTAACGGGAGGACGCTAGTTTGTGTTCTCCCGTTACCCTAAGGAGAACTATGGGGAAAAACACTGACCCCATACTTCTCCTTTAAATATATATTCTGCATTATTGTAATGTCACGTTGTTTTACCACAAAGGAGGACTCTGGGATCAAACATTAGTATCACAGGACGAAAAGAAGAAGTACTACAATCCACACATTCATCCTACTAAACAAATGAGAAGTGAACAGGAACTGAAACTCCCAGGTAATAATAAACCGAAAGGAGTACAGACACAACAATGTACTATACCTCAAGTCATAAGGTTTTTGCTTTGTTGTTGCTTGTTTTAAAGCCTAGGAAAACAGAAAACGTACCCTCGCAGTCTAAGGACCGCTGACGTCATCATATCCAAGGCAGGTCCATTGACCTGCATTAGACATGAGGAGGCTGAAGAACATTCCAACATCTGGAACAGAGGGGAGCATTAGTAAGCGCAGAATGACGCAGGAGCGGAGATCAGGTGAGTTGTACAGCTTTATTTGAGCTCCCTGGACAAAACAAGCACTTAGCTATTGCAGTGCAGGGGTAGGGGTAGGAGTACACCCCCCCCCAAGTTCTGCTTCAAGTTGATCATACACTGGTTGAATTGTGCGTGGCCCTGCTAGCACAGTTCTGTTTGACCAAAGTTCTTTTGTCAATTGACTTTTATTAAAGGAACCAGACTGCAAATTGTTGAGAGAACAGTGCCTGTAACTAATCAGCTTTTTGGGGGGAAACATGCTGTGGACCCCCTCCATCCTCCAAGGCCGTGGACCCCCTCCATCCTCCAAGGCCGTGGATCCCCTCCATCCTCCAAGGCCGTGGATCCCCACCATCCTCCAAGGCTGTGAACCTCCTCCATCTTCACATGTTATGTACATCCTCTATCTTATAACGTCCTATACACAGTGTACACAACATGATGACTCGCAGGACCTTAGACCAGTGGGCAGCAGAGGGGAAGAGAGGCTCTGCGGAGTAGTCTAAGAGAATGCCGTCTCTGAGAATTGGGCGAGTATAAAGTTGTTATTTTTGAACCTAGACAAAAATGAGCACCTAACCCTTGCAGTGCCGGGGTAGCCCCACTGTAAGGGTTACAAAACCTTGTCCCTGGAGTTCTGCTTTAAAGTATGTAACATGACAGCGGAGCACAGTACTAGGGCATAGTCATTTCTAGGGTATTTTAAAAGTATAGTCCAACTTTTGCAAAAAAATAAATAAAAAAAAGGCACACACAATAACAAACAGAAATGTGGATTTATAAATTTTTTGCATTTAAGCCCGATTAGTGGATCAGGGAATGCAATGCTCTGCCTCCTGCAGACTCTTCCTCCCAGCTCCTGTCCGTACCAAGGTACGTACTTTCAGCTAAGGAACAGTAGGAAGTATGATGACGTGTGGTGACATCATTGCACTTCTACTCCATTCAGAACTACAAGTCCCTCTCCTGGGGTAGCCGACGGGTCTTGTAGTCTCTCCATTCACAGATCCTGTCAAATCACCTATGAATGGATGATGCAGCCGTGTGGGTGGAGCTAAGCACACCCACACCAAATTTAAATTCTAACAGGGAGGAGAACCTCACGATTCAGGTAAGTGGGGGAGGGGATGTGACCGTGTGTTATGTTACACCCTGAATATGGGTGTAATATGAAACGCGGCCCTAAAAGTAAAACAGGAAATATTTTTCCATTTGTCAGCCTGTAGATTAATGATACAATGCAAGTAAAGTTCTCTGTAAAATCAATGAACAGCCAAGTATCAGATGCTGAATGAGAAGAAAATATCTGGCCATGCAGTGTTAGTACATGGTCATAAATAAATATTGATGGATGGCAGGAACATTGACAACTATAAGGAAACGATGACAACTCCCACACACACACACTGGTGACTGTAGATCTGTAGTCAGGACAGACCACAAGAGACATCCCGGATACAAAGAGGTCAAACAATCCATGAAAGATGTCAGCGCATAGCAATGTGTGTCCAACTATTCTAATCTGTGCATTATGGATGCATGCCACCCACTGGTATCCCAGAAGCAGAACATACCACCCGGCACGAGGAATATACCCGAATATTCTAATACTGTAGTCAGCACTGTACCTCTCCTATTGTCACCTTCCTCAGTTCATCACTGCACACAGACAAGGGAAAAAACCGGCAGCTTCATCACCCTTTTCAGCTTCACGCTCCTACTAAATGGTCTATTCCTCTGCACCAGCCCGGCCTCAGTCTGGGGAAAGTAACCAAGCCTCGATCTAGGCAGAAGAAGCCGAGCCTCGATCTCTGGATAGCAGTAGCCAAGCCTCGATCTGATATCTTCAGCCAAGCCTCGATCTGATATCTTCAGCCAAGCCTCGACTTGATATCAGCAGCCATGCCTTGATCTGTTATCATTATCAGCAGCCATGCCTTGATCTGTTATTATCAGCAGCGCAGCCAAGACTCCATCTGGAAAGACGCTGTCAAGATACCATTTGGATAGTAGCTGTAAAGCCTCAATCTGAGTAATAGCAACCAAGCCTTGATTTGGATAGCAGCAGCCATTCTTCTTATATTTCTTTCCATTACTATGAGCCGCCACCCCAAAAAAAATTCTACTGACGTTCATGGCGATATCAAATATGTGTTCATTATTAGTTTTCTGTACCCATAGTAGGGCCCAGAAACAACAGTGCATAATGTTGACACTAAATAAAAAAGTTTTTTTTTTAAAGGAGAAATCTGGGAAAAACTTCATAACTCTTGCATTGGGGCTACCCCTGCACTGCAAGGGTTAAGCGCTCATTTTTGCTAAGATAAAAAAGTTATGCTCACCTAATTATCGGAATCAGCTTGTTCTTAGACCGGTGCAACCTTAAGGTCCCCACACACCTTACAATAATCGCGGTAAATCCCGCGATCGTACGATTATCGTAAGGTGTGTGGAAGCCGTGCGACCTCTACTACTGTAAGGTCGCACGACTTTTAACTTACGGACATGTTCGAAAACCCGCCGAGCATCGTACGATGTTCGGCGGGTTTGTGGTATGTCCGTACGATAAAAGCCGTACGGGCCGGTGTGCGCAAGCGCACACTGCCCGCTCGGCATTGCGGTCATCGGAAGCCCGCCCCTCAGGGGGCGTGGCTTGCGATCATCGCAAGTACGATCTGCCTATGCAAGATAGGCAGATCGTACGTTTTTTTAAGTACCTTACAACCATCGCAAGACAAAAGTCTTGCGATGGTTGTAAGGTGTGTAGCCAGCCTTAGACCTTGGAACCTCTTTCCTCCTTCACTGCAGGGGTCTAAGTTCTCGTGAGTCATCACATTCTATACATAGTGTATGGATGTGAGGACACCAAGGGACATACCATCGCTGCAGGAGAGAGGCTCCAGAGACCGGTCGAACAGCAAGCCAGTTTTGAGGATCGGGAGAGTATTTCTTTTCTTTTTTGCACCTAGACAAAAACTAACAGTTAACCCTTGCTGTGCGAGGAGGGTAGTCCCACTGCAAGAGTTAACAACAGTTTAGCCCCGTTTAATCCTAACTAAAACAAACTGACACTGACCCTAACAATAACCGAGATCAGGCCCTGACACTAGCGTATGTTTGTTCGCATAAGACCCTGGGCTGTTGGCGACAACTCGGTCTCCATACTGTGGATACACTATAAAGAGCACTCCTAGCACAGAGACCAGTGCGCATATATGCAGCGTACAGGAAGAAACCCCTATAATATATGAGTGCACTTCACGAGTGCTTCCCTAAAGTCTCTTTGTCTATTTTTTTGTGATTTGTCAGTGTAGACTTAGTCAGCTTAGCTGTGCTGGCTCAGTGTACTCTATTAAGTGCGGTGATCATTCTCAGTCACTGGCTGTGCTGAGTGTTCACCAGTAGAGTGTGCTAGAGATAATGCTTCACATTAAAGCGGACCTTTACACTCAAAAATCTAATTCTACCGATGCATCCCTCTATGTGTGATGATTAATAATAACATTGACATGTCAGATGTAAAATGCTGTGACTATGAAATACTTGTAGAGCATTCACTTCCTGCTTTGAAAGGGCAAAATGACTTCAGTTTGCCAACGCCATGCACACTGGGATTGCCTTGTCATCAGCAGAGCATTGCTGGGAAATCTCATCTCAGTAAAATAAATTTTCCTCCCCTGAGATGATGTGCATGGTCACATGTCCTAGTCACATGTGCCAGAAATCCAGGAAGTAATAGGAGAGCTAGTAATCTGCCCTTAGTAAACATGGCCACTGTCAGAAGACTGGGGAAGAAAAGGGTAAAGGTCTGCCGTGATGGAAGCAAAGCTGCAGTTGTCTCTCACAGGGATGGTGAGTGACCGACTGAGCTGGGAAGCACCACAGGAACTTTCCCACTGCTATCCCAGACATTTCAACTCTCCCGGATGTTCCGGGAGTCTCCCGCAATAAGATAGCGGCTCCCTGACACCCGGGAGAGAAACATTTTATCCCGGAAAGGTTTACCCTGCTTTCTCTAGTAGAGTAAACCTTTCTCTGCAGTTTTTTTTTTTTTTT